ATTATTGTTTAAATAATATAAAATCTTTTTAGATGAAATATAGTTGCAAAATATGCTGTTTTTGGCTAACAAAATCTGCTCAGTATTTCTTGTTCAGAAACAAATTGTGTTTAATCATGTGTTAGGACTTAAATAATAGTTTAAACATAAATTGGTAAAATTGTGAAAAAATAATCAGTTGAAAGAAACAAAAACAACACAACAAAAATGTTCAATTTATTTATTACACAAACCAAGAAAAACTTTCTAATGAAAAAAAACAACATAAACATAATACAGTACATTACAATATTGTTACACAACATAAAAAATAAAACATAACCAGTAAAGTTAGTGCAAATAGAAATGTAAAATAACATTGAAACTGATAGCATGAAAATAACAACTTAGAAAAACCTACAAATTCATAATAATATTCTAATATGTCAAAAATATATTCACAACTAACTAACAGATGGCGCTACTAAACTTTATTATGCACTTTGCAGAGGGTTATGTTCGAGCTTATAAAAAATGTCACTTAAATAACTGCGCATTAGTTTTAATACGAATAAATTATAATATTCATTATGATAACACTGTTACACAACTCTTTACGTAATTTAACATAAATCTCTTTAAACTGTTACAGCTTTTTTTAGGAGCGTTCACTAAAACACAAACAGAAATTGAAAGTACAAAGTCAGTTTCGGTTTGTGTTTTAGTGAACGCTTCTGAAGAAGCTGTAAAACGAAACTTTGAGTGTCTAATTAAATAAAAACAACATTACTACAAAATGAACATTAATAAAATATCTGTTATTTACTTCAACCCTCTTAAGATGCTTATTAATTAATAAGGTTGAATATCAACGGACACACTGATATACTGTTCACCTGTTGGATTACGCTCATCCAGGTATTTAAAGGTCATTTGGTTGTGTATTCCTTAAATATGGGGAGTAACATTGTTTAACAGAACCGCACTAAGTTGTTTGTTTCAGATAAAGCTACAAAAGGGCTATGTGCGCTAGTTCCTAATCTAGAACCTACTGTAATATAATTTTTGGATTTGACCGTCACTCTTATTACGCATCTACGGCACGAAAGTGCAGGGCGCGTTTTTGCGGTAACGAAACTTGTATCGGAATTACACTCTGGCCCGCTAATCATTAGGCCATGCCCCTTGCATTAAAAGTACCCTCGCCCGATAAAAGTCAGCAGTTTCTTATTTTATAAGCTAGTTTATAGATGGCGTGATTACCAATAACTTTGGTAATTTTTTACATACTACAGTGACATTGATAAAAGTGCTATTTTTGTTACAACGCATTTAACGCGTTTAACATTACTTACCTGAACGAACACGCGTATTTGGTGTCTTCTACGGTTCTTAGAAAAATTAATTCGTAGCGAACACAGAATGCACTTTTATTATAGCTCTTCTGAGATTTCTATACTTTGTCATACGAGATAAATGGAGTCATTATCGGAGAGCCACTGATGTCTCGAAACATAAGAGACATTTTTTGTTTTAATGATATGAAGTTAGCCCCCATTGAAAATAGTTTAGATAAATGACCTTTACACCCCAGATGTAAATATGTATACTTCAGTATCAAACAGTTCGTATGTATTAACCCTGAAGAAGCCGTAAAAGCGAAACGTTGGTAGTAATACAAAAACAAATATATATATTTACATCTGGAGTGTAGAGGTCGTTTATGTAAAGTTTTATCACAATGTGTAAATCCCTCCAGTATGCACTACAAACTTTGAAAGAAAACAAACCGTTGAAAATAAAAACTTGGTTACTATATGTATATCTCTATTTATTTGTTTACGATCTCTTCAACGTTTTGTGTGTGTCAAATTACACCATTAAGATCTGTGAATTAATTGTTACGTTTAACAGCTTTCCTTTTACGTGAACTTACGACGCTAAGAGCAGCTAGATTGAATATCACATAACGTAAAGTAACAATATTTCTCTACAGCGTCGCCATAGCAACTAATGAGCCAAACCGTTATACAATTCTATAAATGTCCAGAAACAGCATTTTTATTGTAACAGGCGTCATTACCTTCAACTCACTAGGCCTAAAACTTTGTGATACAAAATCACGTTAACTGCAGATGTGTGTTTTTCCACATTCCTCCCTATTTGTTCATTGCCGATTCAAGGTCACTGCCCAAGAGGTCTTTCGTTCAATACCAAGACTCATTAGTTAGGCTGATTTGTGGGAGACAAACAAAGGAGGAATGTGGCAAAAAATCTGAAGTTAACGCGTTTTTTTATCACAAACAATTTAAGCCTATTAGTTTCATCAATTACCGTAAGTATAATTATCATGTATTGTTGTAAGCGGATCATCTCCAAACATTCAGTACAATAAGCAGAACAAAGTGGTTAATACCGTTGCTATGTCGTATTGTACAGACCAAATCTCACAAGTCATTACCCAAGAGGTCTTTCGCACAATGCCAAAACTCGTTAGTATCATAGAAAACACATCGTTATATTTTGGTGCTGTGACTTTTTAGCGTTATTGCCGTGTCATTCGGTAAAATGGCATTACCGTCTGTCATGTTAGAAACAAATGTTTAACAAAATACTTCCTAAAAGCATGACGTCTTCAGACTTTTATTTTTCTTCACTTCTGGTGTTTCTTCGTAAACCCGCACAGGTGTTTACAATGGGTTTCGTTACTTCCAGGTTTTTATAGGTGTTTAAAAAAATCCAGAGATGTTCAATTTTTAAACACAGATATTTACGTGGTCACGAGCGATCTTAATTAATGAATTAATTTGCATACAAGCTCGCAGGCGAGTGAGAATTTATAAAACAGCTGAACGTTTTCTGAAAGTCTCCCAGCATGAAGGTGGAAACAAAATATGGTCAGAAAGTAAAGTTGAACATCTAGTTCCGAAATTTTCACTTCCTTTTAATGTCACTTCCTGTTTTGGAAGTGCTTTCTGGCTGTCGATGTTTGAAGTCATTTTCGTGATTAATTCACAATATCAGCCTCCATCATCCACCTATTGGCTATTTATTGTACTAAATTAAATAGACCACAGCATGAAAATAACATCCACTTAGAGAAACAACTGTAACGACGTATATATATATATATCTATATATATAGACGAAATGTGGGTTTGTTTGCACCGTAACTCCTCCGAGTCTATTGGGCCAATCTCAACTGAAATTTGTATGTAAAAACTATGAACTAAGGGGAATGTCCTAAGGGGTCAAAATTGAACTTAACTCTATTCCTATTTTGTAAAGCCTGTTGGTTAATTACCTCCAGCCTATTGAGTCAATCTCAAACAATCTTGGCAGGTTGACGCTTTAGACAATGTTGAATATTCTAAATTGATTCAAGGTCAAAGTGTGAAAGTTCCTAGATTGTTTCTCAAACAACAATGCTTTTCTCATGGTCAGTGAGATGTAGGGTGTCCAAGGGTGGGATAACCTCAAAATCTTTATTTGTTGGTAGACGGAAATCAAACTGCAAATGTTGTTTATGAAGAAGCTTTGTTACAATTTTAAAATTTTGAGATAAACTTTACGTTCCAGTTATTACTTTGAAATATATGATTGCCGTTAAACTTACATTGTTTTAATTAAGTTTAAACGTTCCCCGTCAGTTGATGGGTATTTCAGCTTGTATATATATATATATTCAGATTCTTGGTGTGGGGGCTATACACTGCTGTATATTTAGAAAATATACACACGATCACCATCTTATTTGAGGGGTTTTAAATGCGTGAGTTAGTGTTGTCTAGAAGATTAACAGATCATTGTTAGGGCGAGAATGTTCTTGAACTGAAGGATCGTAACACGGATCCAACTCAATAATGGGTATTTCTAGTATGGCAACAGAAAAGTGGAGAGTTCTTCGAAGTAAATTATTTACTCTGCAATACAGATTCAGTCGGCTGGCAAATTGTATGAAGAAAGAAAGAAGACATTGCTAGAAATAGATATCTCTCTGAAAATAGGGTTTGAAATACGGGGGGGCTATAGATCATACATAAGAGACAACTGCCCCTGGAGGGTAGGGATCTTTGTGTTACTTCTCTATATTGGCGAAATTGTCAATGTCTTTGTTTTAAACTGTGGCTATGTGTTTGTAAAGGTAAACAAAGGGAATGCGTGCATGGTATCTATTAATAGGTACTCTATGTATTTCTAACTTCTTAACGTATATGCATCTTAGCATCCCTTCCTTCCAAGAGTCTAACATATAATTCCAACACTGTCTGAAAGTGTAGTATTTTTAGGACAACGACTCTCATAAACCTATTTTAGAAAATATGGGACGCAGGTAAATATTTTATTTATATAAAGAGTATTTATAAGTTATTGTTTTTTGTGTCATTTAAGTTGTGGTTAGTTTCTGAGAAATGAACAACACCCGATAAAGGAAGCTAACATAAGATAACACAAAATTTGATTGGTGTGGTAGCGATGTTGGTGGTCTGTTTGTATAAGAATGCTTATAGCAGGCAACATTAAGAATGAGTTATACAACGTACTTTCACGTCATATCCAGAGACGTTTCATACAACTATCTACGTGTTATTTCATGTAATTTGTACGTGAAAAGCATGAATTTTGAAATGTCGCCACGAATAAGAAATTTGATATATGTATTTTGTTTTAGGTAAAGTAAAGGGTGGAAAAAGTTGGATTTTATATCGAACTAAACCTCGTAAGGATCTTGACAGGTTGAAAAATGTAACATTCGGCCATTAACAGTTTTTGCGTTGACAAAAGATATATTTCGTGATGTTATTTTTAAGTCAGTATTTATTGAAAATCCGTTTCTTTTACCGCTTGATTGTATTAGTTGTCAGTTCTTTAAATCACGAAAATAATATATGTCTTTTACTAACCAGAAGTTTGGTGAAGTTCGTGTCACGATAATTGGTTGAAATCAGGAAATACTGACTATTCACTATTAAGAAACTAGTTTGACGTCATTAAAGTTAGCTAGTTTGTGCAAAATGACAAAAAAAATGTAATTCAGGTTGTTTAGAAGTATCCAATATAAAATATAGGCATGTTTCTTACATTTTTGTGGTCTCAATATTTATCGTTGAATAAAAGGATTGTAGTAGATTCCATACAGACTTGGAGCTGTACGTCATAAATAGATCTTCAAAACCGTATATGTTACACCAAATTCTCCTTTCATACGTAACAGATTATCTATCTGTCCGTCTACCTGTCTTGAAAGATGGCAAAAAGCAGATCAAGTTTGATAACTTAAACCATTCAGGAACGATGTCTGTCATCTGGCATCCTCTTTACTGCAGAGGTCGATAACTGGAAACTGCCCCGTCGGGACCTATATACGAGTAATGAACTGTAATAATGAAGGAATTAACTTATAAACTGTTAGTAAGGAAGTTGTTTAACCTCGCCCGTTATTGGTTAGATGATCGAGTAAGGATCGTTAAAAACAAACAAATAAAGTCTTTGGTGTAGTAATTTATCTGAGGACATTTATGAAGATTGAGGAAACAAAATTGAGAGTTTCAGTAAGGTAGGATAAGAGATAGAAAAACAAACAAACAAACAGTGAAAAATATAAAATTATTGAAACAATTTAATGAAATAAACAAGAAATAAAATTTACTTAGATTCAAGATTTTTTTTTTTGAAAAATTTCGCGCAAAGCTAAAGTTATTTTCCGCATAACCGTACTTAATTCGAACTGATAGGCTTGAATAGTAGTAGACGGAAAGCAGCGAGTTAACAGCACCCACTTGGGTTACTCTTATCTGACCGAATAGTGGAATTTGACCATTACTCTTATTGTGTAACCACGGTCTAAAAATGAGGAAAGCGTTTTGCTGATGGACGCATACTGACAATACTTGTTTTTATAGTCCTGAAATGGTATGTCGTTACCAGGAGTCAGTGTAGCGAAGCTTTAAGTGTAAGTCGGGAGAGAGTAATTATTATCCTATCTGCTTAATTTTTCACGACGACTGACGATAAAAATACGTTATTTATAAGTGCTGCTATGTTATGCGGACTGACGATAAAAACATGTTATTTATAAGTGATGCTATGTTATGACGACTGACGATAGAAAACACGTTATTTATAAGTGATGCTATGTTATGACGACTGACGATTGAAAACACGTTATTTATAAGTGCTGCTATGTTATGACGACTGACGATGCCGATTGTGAGATACGACCCAGTTTGAAGTGTAATGTTTATAATAAATTATAAACATAATTGTAGAAAAAAATATGTAAATGTAGCCACCTTTTTGTTTCTATCGCAACAGATAACAGTTTTATATTTATGGAGTTAGACGTATAATGTATAGGGGGATATGCTTTTAAATTAACACACACACACATACATATATATTTGTGTGTGAGTATTTCATATAGTTAAAAAAAGGTGGTTGAACGTAGGCGGCAATTGTTTTAATTTATGGTCCACGATAAGACCAATATAAATAATTTGTGGCTATAAAGGACCGATTATTTAATTAAAATGGCAAAAAAAAACTTTCATCCTGAAAGCTATACAATTACAACTTTTTACAAAGAAAAAATTATCTCCTTCGTATACATTACATTATTCTAGGTATGTGCAGTTTTCACGTAACACATGGTCAAGAAAGTCATTAAGTTACTTTGCTCTTGTTTTCTACTGTTCTCTGTCGTTCTACTGATGGAATATCTGGTCTGCCCGGAGGAAAAGAAACTGTAAAGCTGCACCTAATATATGAAAGTAGGCAATAGTCTTCTTCAATGTTAAGTCAGGTGATACCTAGAGGCTACAACCTTTCTTATTTTCTAATGGGAATACCAGTCACGTGGGTATCGTTATTCGCCATGAGAAAGTATGACATTTTTAGTTTATTATATAACGTGAGGCTTTTTAGAGCGGGACAGACTTGTAAAATTATATAATATAGAGAGAATTCACAAAATATCCAGATTTTCAACTCTTCAGTCCTTTGTACTGAGATAATTCACTCTTGGGGAAAATAAAATTTCCCTGAGAATATCACAGATTTATGGTAAATTAGCACAACAATTTCACACACACTCTGTGATTTTTATAAATGTTACTTAAGAAAACAAACAAACAAAGATGTGGATGGAATCCCGCTCGGTTTCAGTTCTCATTTTATAAAACCAATAAATAAAATAAGTGCTACCCCTAAAAATTTCGACTGAGTTGTCCTGCAATTTTATTTTTTTTATAGGATAGTTACGTTCGTGATGGTAAGGGAAATATTCATCTGAAACTTTATTTTGACTCATTTTGTAGTTACATCCACGACCGTAGGGGAACTGTTCATCTTATTTTTGTTTGTTTGTAATTAAGCGCCCCCCCCCCAGTGGCACAGCGGTATGTCTGCGGAATT